ACAGGGAGAGCCGAGGGAGAGGAGAGGGAGAGAGAGAGAGTGAGAGCACACACACACACACACTCACTCGACACGACTGCGGGTCGGACGCAGACACAGTGGCACGGGCACAAAGTCAAAGTCTTGGATTCCGAATGCCGAACACGAGCAAGTCCCACTGAGTACGAGTACAGCAGCCGAAAACTGGTACGAGACTGGTCCCCGTACCGTACGGGGATCCGGTACAAGTACCGGTGACATGTACGGTACCAGGGGCATTTCTGCAAAGGCCCCGAGGGCAGAACTGAAAAATGTGGTATTTGAAAGTGGCGCCCGAATTGCAGCATGGCGCCAGTTGTCCAAAATCCTAAGGTACCAAAGGAGGGGYTTGGAAAAAGGGTGCCAGGCCGAAAACGGGATGCAGCCGAAACAGCAAAAAGATAGACCAGGGATCGAGCCCTGGCGGAGTCCGTAACAGGGGGAGGAACAGATGGTGGTGATGGGGAATGTTATGCTGAGGAGGCTGGAGTAGCAGAGGTGTTTAGGGTGGTCTTTGCGCACAGGGATCGGGTTGTGTTTTAAGGCCAGGTGGTGTTAGAGAGGCTCCCTTGGGCTGCACTCAGTCCAGTCCCATTAAGGTTGTGTGGAGGCTTGAGGTATGGACAGGGCCCTGAACAGGCAACCGACGCTATCAGCTCATGCACCACCCCGGCACTCAGAGGAGGGCACTGAACTGAACTGGCAACCTTCACGGTATCCAGACGTCCAGTGTAACCCGCGCAGACCTTCATGGTATCCAGATGTCCAGTGCATTGAACCGATCTGGCAGACCTTCACGGTATCCAGAGGTCCAGTGCATTGAACCGAACCGGCAGACCTTCACGGTATCCAGACGTCCGATATCTATACAGTGATCATCATCATACTCCAAGACTATTGGTAAATACTAAATTGCATTTGTCATCATTGATGATGTTTCTCCACTCTTTGTGAGGGACGCTGGACCCGATTTCCAGCAGGTGTAGCTCCTCACCAATAGATTGGAGCCTGCCACGCGGATGCTAGAGGTGCCTGCTCATACCAACGCCTCTAGCTGGCATGTGATTATGTGGTGTTTCAAAAAAAAAAAAAAAAAAAAACTCCCCACCAATAGATGGAGAGAGTTTACCTACAGAGTGGAGACTGCCCCCAAGCTGTAGGCTGCTCAAGCTATCACAAGTTTTTCCAAAAAGAATATGCCGAGTCCATCATGGATTATATTTGTTTTTGATAGATAAGCAAAATAGATGGATTATTTCTTCTGATCATAGTCATCCATGATGGACAAAACAGATAATGCCACTGCCCCAGCCAGGTCTCCACGCATTCCAGAACCACCACCCGAAGGGGAGAAGGAAGAGGAAAGGGGAGAAGGAAGAGGAAGAAGGAGAAGGGAAGGCGAGAAGAAGGGAAGAGGAAGAAGGAAGGAGAAGCGAAGGGGAGAAGAAGGGAAGAGGAAGAAGGAAGGAGAACAGGGAAGGAGGGAAGAAGGGAGGAGGAAGAAGGAAGGAGAAAAGGGAAGGGGGGAAGAAGGGAGGAG